GCCGCCCGTCACCCCCCGGTGTTCCCGTGCTCATCTTGCGTGGCCCTGTTCGCCTCCCATGGGAGGCGCTTTCCCGGCGCCCCCTTAGGAACAGCGGTTGGGACCGGGGGGTGCTGTTGGTGTCACGGCCCTGGCGTGTTCTGTGCCTGCCTCGTGTTTTACCAGCTTAACTTACAACCTGTGTTTGCTTGTGTTTGGACCGGGCAGTTACCAAAAGCGAAGTGGAATGTCTGATCAAGCTGTACGACACGCTAGTGGCCAAGGCCAGCCGCCAGTTTGCTGGGGCCGGCTTCGACCGCACTGTGTTCCGAGACACGCTGTACAGCTACTTTGGCATGACGGATGACATGGTGCTGGACCGAGGTGAGCTCACGCAGCGCTGAGCGCCGGGCAGGGGCTGGGATGGCGCTGCTGACTCGACGAGTGCGTCCGTACCAAACAGCGCCGTCTCGTCCTAGGACAGCAAAGGAGCTGTTGGGAAAATGGCATCTTTTCTTTCTTTATGCGTTACAGTTTCCCCTTAGTTTTGGAGAGCTCACGCTCTAGTTCGAGGCAGAGCAGCCAGAGGGTGTTGTGCTGCCTTGTGGCTGTTTGTGTCGCAGCCTCTGTAGTGTGACGGAGGAGGGCAGTGTCACTTTCCTCTTTTCTCCGGTGGTCCCAGTGGGAGCTGCGGTCGCTGCTGGGCGACAGCTCTAGCTCAGGCCTGGAAGTCCCAGGAAAGCATTCTGATAACAGCCGGTAACTGGGAATGGAGGCTCTGCGAACAGCATTGAAGGGCCTGGGCAGATAGTACAGGGAGGTGAGAGTAATGAGCCAAATAACCCCTTGAAGATACAGCGATTTCACAGATTGGTAACAAGGGACATGTTTGGAGTCACTGTGAAAGTTGAAGGAATGATCTCAGATGCAGAGGTGTCTAGAGGAGTATGCAGAGCCAGCATGAGTCTGCCCTTCTTTCAGTCTTGAGCTGCCAACAGCCAGCCCTTGGTTCAACTTTGTCCATGTCTCTAGTAGGAGAGCTACTTACATGCCATAAAATAAAAACTTCTTGCAATTTTATGCAGCATGGTAAGTGTGTCTTGGAAGATACTTCACATTACCTTACTCATTCTTAAAAATTACTTTAATGCTTACATGAAAAGGAGCTGATTTCAGTCTGCAAAAGCAAACCTATTGTCTTCTAATTCAAAAATGCTTGGCTCTGCATGGAGACGTGTTCCTTCAGCCAAGCTACTAATTAATATTCTAAAATACAAATTATTACAGATGCTAGTGGATGCTTTGAAATCCTTGGTTTTGAATTACTGTATTACAGGCTGTATGAATACTGAAGCTGTGTGAGATTGAAAGTTGCTTAGAGAATGGAAAAGAAAAATATTTTGTTACATGACAGAAAAGAGGTTATTTTTCTTTGTAGATTTAATATATATTGTTTCTAGGATTACTTTGTCCAAGATTTTCCTAGACAAAACTAGTAATTTAAATCTTAATCTCTATGCAGAATTATCCCTTATTTTAAATTTATTTGCTTTACATCTGCATGGAAGCATACTTCCTGTATTTGTTTAAGTCAGCAAGGTTACAGATTGGACAAAATCTTAGCAGGCAGGATTCTGGAGTGGAGAATCAGTAAACTGAGGGACAGAATCCCTTTCGTTGTTACATCTTAGAGTCAAGAATGGTAATCTTACCTTGGTGAAAGCAGACAAACATCTTAAGAAGAAAGGTAATTTATTATTTCACTGAATTTAAGAGAACATTGCTTTTTTGTGTTTCTCTATCATATACATTTGAAATGTGTCTGATACACTTCTAGTGTTCATCATTTTTGATAAAGACAACACTGGCCGCATCACTGTGGAGGAATGGGTGGAAGGCTTAGCACCGTTACTTCGGGGGACACTGGAAGAGAAGATGAAATGTAAGATTGATCTGTATGCAAATATTTAGTAGTAATGATTAAACTCATAACAAATAACACATTGCTTTTGTTATAATTGAGTAGCTACTCTTACAAAGTATTTGGTGATGGAAAATTTTTCTTCTGTATTGTTTAATGCAATGAAACTGAGTTCTGAAATGGCTTCTCTGAGAGTTTTTTTCTGTGTAAACTGCTGTTACCACAGCCACCACCTTTTTTTGTTGCTTACAAAATCTTGCATTTAAACCGAAGTTTATTCTACAGCATACATTTTCAACAAAATACATGTTTTTGTATTCACACACAAAATTAGAAAGAAGCAGATGAATCTCTAGTGTGGTTTTGGCTAACTAATAGTCTTGAGCCAAGCAAGACCAGTGCCAACATTCATTTACTGGCACAGTGGGGACACAGTAGCAGTTGCATTAGCTCCAGCAATTCTTCAGGTTGGAAGCACAGATGGAAAAACTGTAAGATGGTAATGAGAGCCTCCACAGTAATGACAGAGAAAAATGGAGGAAAAAAATAGCAAGAACTCTAGAATTTTAAGCAGCAGGGGAAAAAAATAGGGCATGTGGGGCGTAAAAAAAAACCAATAGAAAAAGGAGAATGACAGTATGTTGTTTCCATAGTTCCTAGGTTGCAGCATTAGCAATCCTACTGCATTATATAAATTCATCTGGAAAGTGGTCAGGGGTGTCACAGCATTAGGATGTGTGCCCAGGTTGTAATTCAGTGTGTCAGTAAACCACACACAGTAAAACAGGCATTCCTGCTGTAAGCACCATAGACGATACTAGTGCATAGTGGTGCAGTGCTGTCTGTCACAAGTGCTTGCCAGGAATGTTTCAGCACATATAGGATAAATTTGGCTCAGTTGATAATGTACAGTTCACAATTTTTGTCTGTAGGTAACAGCTTGAATGCTATGTTTGTAGTTTGTAATCAACTTGAAATTTATTTGTATTTCAAAAGACTGTTTTGCCATTTATGACCTGAATGGTGATGGATACATTTCGAAAAAGGAAATGTTTGAAATGCTGAAACACAGCCTTCTCATACAACCAGGAGATGAAGAGCCTGATGAAGTAGTTAAGGACTTGGTAGACATAGCACTGAAGAAAATGGCAAGTACTTACTTATTGTGATACTTGAGAGTCTTTCAAACATTCACTAACCGATACTTAAAACCCTTTCCATGAGGTAACAAAATAAGGTGTCTTACTTACAGTGGGATTCTGCAAGTCTCCCGAGGAAAGCCAGAAATATAATCCAGGTCTAGTAAGTCCCAGCCCAGTATTCTCACATGAAATCATTAATTTAGTACATGAATGTACTATAAAGTTTATGTATAAACTAGCATGTGTGTACGTGCATATACATCTGTGCATGCACAGTCAAAGCAAAAGCCCAGTCAGAAGTGGAAAACTCAAAAGTGTAAGCTGCATTTATTCTATCAGTACAGGCATCTGCAGTAACTTCATTTTTAAGTACATTTGTGTTTTATCAACTGATCATGAAATGTCTTTATCCAATTTATTTGTATGTATTCTATTAGAATGCTAAACTCAAGGTTATTAATGTGAAGCTTGTCTTACAGTGCTTAATCTAGAATATCAGAGCAGCCAGGGACTGTCTGATCAAGATATATACTCTCCCCTTCCATCACGGTGGTCAAAAATTTTCACTTGAAACCAGGGGTTACATCCCAATTCCTTTTATTTAAGCCCATCTTTTCAATTTTTCAATCCCACCCTCTTTGCCTTAGGTAGAGTCAAGTCACTCTAATCTTTTCTGAGCATAAACTGATGACCCCCAATTTGCAAATCTAACTAAAAACAGAATCCAAGTTCTTTAAACATCTGTTAAACAAAACTACAAGTAATAATCCTCTGCTGAAGTGTTCCCTTCCTTTCGCAGGACTATGATCGTGATGGCAAGCTTTCTTTTACGGACTTTGAAAAAGCAGTTAGAGATGAAAGCCTTCTCTTAGAAGCCTTTGGACCATGTTTGCCAGACTTAAAGGTACATTAAACTTGGGTTCAAAAAAAACCTGCACAAGCCAATTCCTTACAGACACTTGCACCAATCCTGTGAATGTCAGGGTATCTTAGGCCAATATTGGGTTCATCCTCTCAGTGCCAGTTCTGCTGTCCAAAGGTGGCCCCTGAGCACTCCCACTCCAGGTTGTTGCAACAGAATGCTGCAGATATTAATCTCATCACTAAGGGAAATTTCAGTCCTGTACAGGCATCCTAGTCTCTAGCATTTCTAGCATTCCTGTTTTCATCTAGTTTATCTCATTCTGCAGCTGGGCTTCTTGCTCTCCATGCCAGATCATTCCTTATCATGCCAGATCACCCCTACTGCTGAGCATTAAAATTTTAATTTCTCCTTCAGCTACAACTTTGAATTCTGGCTGAGCTGCCAGGGATTACACCATTAATGCTATGGATTTATGTTTTCTAAGCTCAAAAGCAAGAGAGGGTCTTTACTGCATACGCATTTCAGTTCATACCTTTCAGTTCAGTACCTTTTCTGACTAAATAGAAATCCTTTAGTTAACTGAAAATTAACTTGCTGTTTTTTTGGTTTTTGTTTTTTTTTTTTTTTAACAGAGCACTATGTCATTTGAACAGAAAATTTTCCGGGAGATTCCTAAAAAGTAACTCCAACTTGTAACTCCACTGCTGAATACTGTTAAAAAGGGTCTTGGTCTTTGCCACTCTTCGTCATACAGTAAAAACAGTCATATTTCAAGTTGCTCCTAAGCTTCAATATTCCTTTGCTGTTAAAGCTGTTGAATAAATGAATTTACTTCTGTTACTCTGGCTAAATAGAGTTCTTCTGTTATATTCATATATTCTGTTCATATTATAAAATGTTACAATATGAGGTACACAGGACAACACTGCAACAATAATACAGTGCATTGGTTTCTTCATTCCAAGTAACAAAATGACACCATTTTAAACAGGGATCACTGGGAAACACAGTATAAAGAAAGTTTTATTTTTTAAATAAAAAAATACATATTTTAAAGTATATTCTTTACAAAAGGACTGTTGGAAGATGCTGCCAGCAGTATCTATATTCGTCTTCTCTGCTTTACAACTGGTTTGGCCGAGCTGCTCTCTGGCTTTTCCACAGATGTTGAAACAGAATCTGCTACCTAAATTGGAGGGGAAAAAAATTTAGTAACCTGTAACCATTACTTTTTTAATGCTCATTTTAGAGTAAGGCCACATCTCCAAGATTTGAGTATTGGGAGCCATTTATTACTATCATCACACTTGTATTGAATTTTCCTGCTGACTAGAGGAAGAAAGTAACACCAAAGGCAGCATTAAACACAAGAGGTGTGAAACTCAGGAGATTCAGCACTACCATTTTTGTATTTAACTACACAAACTGATTTCAGATAGTCAGTGATACAGTATTACATATGTCATCTCCCTTCTTCCTACCAGGTGTTTTTAAGCAAGGTTTAAGGTGCTTTATAAACTCAGGTATTTCAGAAAACAAAGGAAAAGCAGAAATTTGCATTTTGACATGTATTTTAGGAAGGTATTTAATATAAAGGGTGCTTACTTATTAGACACACACTTTCAAATCAATCTAGTCAGTCAAGGGAGCATTTTCATACCTTAATGAAATGTATCAGGAATGTCTGACCTGCTAATTGATTAATATTCTCCATAAAAGGGTACATAGCTTAACACGTGCTTCTCAGCATGGAATTAATGATTCTGTACAGCTTTTAATGGCATAAGAAATGTTGGAGCAACATTACATTGAACTCAGACCTCCATTCTTTTCCTTTCAGAAACCAGATACAAGTAGCACACTGGAGTGAGGAGGACTACCTGCAAAATTATCATGCTTTCACAAGGGAAAAAAAAGTGGTTTATGAAAAATCACATAAGAACATGCACTGACATTTACACTTTCTCAAGTGTAATGTAAGAGGTCTGGAGTGGAATTGCCTGCAATATTCTAGATTGTGGAGAAGTTAAATAGTAAGAGCACTAGCTTTAAGTGGCAGATAAAGTGATAATGAGTAAATGCTGAATAAAGCTATCAGATAGTCACTATTTTTATGTATAACAAGCGCCCATGTTTGAACTATCAGAGCTTTAAGAACCCATACCTCTTTCAGTTTATTTCGAATTAATGTAGCTGAAGTATTCAAAGACTCATCATCCATATCCACTTTAGGTATTTCTGGTAGTTGTGGACCAATAACAACTTCAGTATTGTCCTCACTTGTTCCAATGAGGGAAAACTTGTTACCTTCTTCTCTCTTCCTCTTACGTTCTTGTAGGTGAGTTGTACGAGGCATAAACCTCTCAATTCCATTGCAAGCTGGAACCTTTCTGTGCTGCATTGAGGAAGCTGGTGGAGTGCACACTCCTGGATGGACACTTGGAGTTAAAGATGTGTTTTGACCAAAGTACCCAGAAATTTCAGCACAATTGTTATCATAGTGTGGAGGTGTTAACAGGCTCTGATTCTGATTCCCAGCTGGATATGCTGTGTTGTGGGGTACCCCAGGAGAACTTGTAAAGCAGGATGGATCCCAGTTACTGGCTGTACTTGATCCTGATGTACTCCATGGGCAGTCATGCTCAGAGGTATTTGAGGCTGTCTTCTTAGGGCCTTCTACTTTCTTTAACATAAAGCAATCTTTAAAACAACAAAAAAGAAGCACCTTCACTATTTCATGTAATTATTAGTTCTAACACCCAAGAACAAAACATTTGATATAAATGCAGAAACAATACCAGTGATATTTAATTCCCAACTACCTTTCTGTGATTATTTTTAAGCTTCAAATATAACAAATTCAACTTTCAAACCAGTTTTCCAGTCTAGTGCCTTTGCTGGTTTACAACATTTAAAAAATCCAGATGTTTTGATGTTAAAAATCAGTGGTTTTACTCCCTTTAGAAATCCTTAGACAATGAATAATGATAGCCAAGTATGTGAGCACAAGAAAGGAGAAGCTTGTGCTCAGCAATTTGCTTATTCCTCAGCTTGCCCAGGCTTCAGAGCTGACTGGGAACTCTGTGGTGCAGGAGCCTTTCTAAACACAGTCCATTCTTAACATTTCCCCAGTGCAAAGATGTGGGCTGGAGAAATTTTTTTAAGGTCTTGGTATAGTCATATTCCTTCCAAAACTGTCCCTTTGGCATGCCTGAGGAGGCTGGAACAAGGGTGAAATCCCAAATTTCCTGCCAGTGCTTTAAATTTCTGGTAACATTTTGAAAGAAAACAAAAAGTGAAGGAAATACTTAATTATTAAAGCTTAATAATTTCATTATTTTAGTCTTAATCAAAGCCAAAAAAATAATTTGAAAAGGATATAGTTCTCTACATACTGAGAAATATCTCCATGTAAACATACTTAAATGCATCTGTATTGGGTTTGCATGGCCTGGTTTTCTGTAGGGGGGGGGCTACAGGGTTGGGTTTTTTGAGAAGCTGCCAGAAGCTTCCAACATGTCCAGCAGAGCCAATCCCTGGTGGCTCCAAAGATGGATGTGCTGCTGGGCAAGGCCAGGCCGATTGGAAAAGGCGGCAACACCTCTGTGGTAACAGATTTAAGGAGGAAAATAAACAAGCAGTGGTTGCCCAGTTGTGACTACGGCCAGAGAAGAGCAGAGCGAGAACGGGAGAGGAGCAGCCCTGCAGAGCCCGAGGGCAGCGCAGGAGGGGCAGGAGCCGCTCCAGGCGCCGGGGCCGAGATTCCCCTCAGGCCGGGGGGCAGGCCGGGGGCAGCAGCCGTGCCCTGCAGCCCATGGAGGCCGTGGGGATGCAGGGATCCACCACAGCCCCTGCAGGAGCCCCAGGAGGAGCACGGGGATGCCTGGGAGGAGGCTGTGATCCTGTGGAGACCCTGGAGAGGGGCCCTGCTCCCAGGCTGGAGCAGCCTGTCCTTGGAGGGCTGCGCCCCGTGGAGGAGTGACCCACAGTGCAGCAGCCTGGGAGGGCTGTTCCCATGGGATGGACTCACACTGCAGCAGTCACAGGGAGCTGTTCCCATGGGATGGACTCACACTGCAGCAGCCTGGGAGGGCTGTTCCCATGGGATGGGCTCACACTGCAGCAGTCACAGGGAGCTGCTGCTCATGAGATGAGCTCACGTTGGAGAGGTTCACAGAGAACTGTCTCCTGTGCCACCCCACGGTGCAGCAGGGGAACGACTCCTCTCCTTGAGCAGCAGGAGAAGCCATGGGTCATGAACTGACCACAACCCCCATTCCCTGTCCCCTTGCACTGCTGGGGTAGGGGGTAGAGCTGAGAAGGGAGGAAGGTGTTTATAAGGGCTTATTTTACTTCTCATTATCCTGCTCTGATTTTGTTAGTAATAAATTCACTTTATGTCTCCAAGTAGAGCCTGTTTTGCCTTGGTGGTATTTGATGAGCAATCTCTCTCCTGGTTCTTATCTCAACCCATGAACCATTTGTTAAATTTTCTCTCCTCTACCCAGTTTGTGGAGGGCAATGAGTGAGCAGCTTTGGTGGGTGCCTGGCATCTGGCCACTATCAACACACTATAGCAGCTTTAAAAGAGGTAGGTAAAAAGTGTTTTCTTTAACGGGCACTTTAGCCAAAACCCCGCCCAGTCCTGAAGAACATGAAAATTTTACAGGAAATTTAGTCAGGATTCTATAGGAAATTTAACCACAAACCTCTTTGATTTGTTGCTTTTGCTATATACTTTCTTCTATCCTGCAACTTCTCTCTGGTTTCTTGGACTGTTTCAAATTCTGGAGCATAGCACACGTGCAGCAAACTACCAAAGAAACTTCGTTCATCCATTTTTTTCTTGGCTACCCTGAAGGGAATTAAAGTCTGTCAACAAAACTGAGGATTTTACTCTCTAGAAACTTAACACATTGCCAAGTACAGAAGGCGTAAAAGATTAAGACAGCAAGAGGCAGATATTGCCCTGTCCAATACCTTGCACATTGCAGTTTTTTGAATTTTATAAGGTACACTTCAGTAAACTGCTCTGCAGGATATTCATCTAGAGCATGATATTCCTCAATGGCACCATATAATGCAAATTGTTCCACTAATTCCTTCATAACACCTAATGCAGGAACTCCTTGTACCAGTATATAGCGAGATTCCAAGTTGATAGTGTAAACCTGAAAAAAACAAAAACAAAGACTATTCAAAAACATTCCCACTCTTGTTTTATTGCAAAAGGCACGCATTTTCTCCATGTTTTCTGTTTTTCTGCAAATCCTCTCAGGATGCTGAAAACCCCTGTGTACTCTGTTTTGCAGGGCAGTAAAATGCATGGTTATTTGGGACCTCTTCATCACTGAGCAAGAGCTGAACTCGTGCCTCTCATGCATAGCAAAACACAGATGAAACTTGGCTTTTTACCTTGCACAAGGTAAGAGTACTACTGCCAATTGCTGAGTAAAATCTCTTATGCCTCTGGCCAACTTCCATGCAAGATGTACTAGTAACCAGTTCATAGGAGGTACTGCCAAAATACAGAAAAAAAACCCTGAAAAATCAGTCTTCTTCACTGGCAAAGAAGTCATGCAGGTGAGGAAAACTGCTTTTTTCCACATAGGGAGGTAAAAAACAACCACAATTCCCTGGGGCAAATCCTGTGTGTGCAGAGCTGTCTCCTTGCCATGGTGATCCAACAGCATACGTTTTTATGACACAGATAAAATCTGGGTGCTGAGAGAAACAAGGTCTTCTTCCAGCAGATTAAAAACCAAACCAACCATTCTCTTCTGCCTTGTGTAGTGACTGTCACATAACAAACTCTAATGGCTCACACTATGTACATTAGGCAGCCAGGCAGCTCATCCCTGAGATCAAAGGAAATTTATTCTGAGTTTATTAAAAAAAAAAAACAACCCAAGCCACAAACATTTAGACTGCATAAGTTACACATACTTCTTAAAAAAACATATTCTGGACAAAGCAGAAACTGCTTGGGAAATCAACTCTCAAACTTCCGCTATAAAAATGTCTTCACAGGCAGGTCACATAAGTTTTCTTGTGGCAGCAGCACACTCCCAGCTACATTCTTTGGGGAACAAGGGATTGAAGGAACCTGATTCTTTCACTGTGCAGTTTCTTGCTGGGTTTTTTTTGGAAGGTTTGTCCTTCTACCTCTTTCTTGTCCGGGATGAAAAGATTCCAATAAGGTTTTTTCCACACTTGGGACATCCATACTGTTTCTCCTGCATGTATTCTCCAGTGCCCAATGATGGGTAGATGCCTGTGCTGACCAGAGCTCTCTGTCCTGTGCCCCACCGTGTACACTTGGAAGAATAAAAGAATTTAATGAAGACTTTAGGACTTCATGAAGTATGAAGTGTTTGAAATTTTACGGGAAGGTGGTGGCAGTGAAAGAGATGTGCCGCATGTGTGTAGGCACGCAGTAACCCTTGTTCCGGCCCGGTGAGACCACACCTCAAACGCAGGGTGCAGCTCAGGGCCTCTCTCCAAGACACGGAGATTGCAGAGCATGTCCAGAGAAGGGCAGCGGAGCTGGTGGAGGGTCGCAGGTCTGATGAGGAGCAGCTCAGCGAGCTGCGAGGGCTCTGCTTGGAAAAAACGTGGTTCAGGGAGCCCTTATCGCTCTCTGCAACTCCCTGACAAGAGGCTGGAAACAGATGCGGGTTGGACTTCGTGATCTTAAAGGTCTTTTCCAAACTAAGGGCTTCCTTTCTCACGCCAGCCCTTAAAGGTGCCGCTACACTCTCTGCACACTGAGCGCACACAGAGACACCCCAATCTCACAGTTCCGCTGCAGTACCGAGAAGCTCCAGCGGCGCAGCAGGCGAGGCCCAGGGCCCCTCTGTCTCTCTCTGTCCCTCCCTCCCTTCCGGGGACCCCAGCGCGGGCCCGGCCGCCCCCTGCCCCTCACCCGCAGCGGCTCCGCCCGACACCGCCCCCCCTCCCCTCAGCACCTTCACGGCTCGTGGCCGCCACCCCTCGCGGTACTTGGCGCGCGACTCGCAGGCTCCCAGCTGCGCGTGGTGCCGGCACGGAGCGCCCGGGCCACCGCTGCTGCCGGCCGCCATCTTCCCATCGCCCCCCGCGCCGCGCAGCCCCCATTGGCTGGCTCCGTGCGGCGGGGAGGAGGAGCCCCGGTCCGTAGCGAAGGAGCCAATCAGAGGCGGGCAGCGAGGAAACGCCGCTCCCGCATTGGGCGGCAGTGGGTTGTACCACTGCCCCGGGGGTGACAGGAGCATTACCCCCCGCGCCCGCCACGGGTAGGCGGGCCCGTGCCCGGGCGGAGCGGGCGCGCCGGCGGGGCCGGCAGTGGCGGCGGCCATGTGGGGCTGTGGCGACCCCGGGGGAGCCGCCGCCGCCACCATTGTCCTCAGCGGGACCCGCGACTGCTTCCTGCACCTGCCGCCCGCGCTGGCCTCCCTCCTCCGCCTGCAGCAGGTACCGGGGCGGCGCCGCTCGGGGCCCGGGCGCAGGGACACCTCCGGCAGGCAGGGAGGATTACGTGAGCGCACCCCCGCATCCTGTCACCATGGCGATACTGAGCCCTCCTCCACTCCCTCACGACTCAGCCGGGACCCCTCACGGGGAGACATCGGGGAACCCCTCCTTCCCTCGCCTCCTGCGTGGCCCAGTATCGTCATCAATTCCTAATAAAACGCGGGAGTTTTTCTTCCCCAACGTGGTCTGGCACTGTGGGCATCTGAGTCTCTTTCATCACTCTCTATTTCATACCAGTTTCCCCCGTAACTTGCTAGCATTAAGCGAATAATGCGTAAATGTTTAATTCAGGTGGGGGAAGAGGTGACAAATCCGTTCACAATCCTCCTTTTTGCTGTACACAAATAAAATATGTCACTATAGAAAAGCACTCCCGTCATGCAGATGCCTTCTGAAGACGCGGGGTCACCTTACACTGTAAATAACATTGCACCCGTGGAAGTGCACCTTACACTGTAAATAACATTTCACACGTGGAAACGGGAGCAGAGACACTGTGTGCCTCTTGAGCCATGCTCGCAGAGCTGAGTGCCGGCAGGACAGGGTGGAAAAGGGCAGGAATGAGCCCAGAAGGATGCGAGCAAAGCTCAGGAGAGCTGGCACAGCCCCCCTGGGCCGAGCAGGCCTCCCTCGCGTGGGTGACCTCCTGCTCTCAAGGCCAAAAAGGGCATTTCACAACAGGAAAACAACATAGGCGTGTAAAACCTGCTCGTTCACCTCTAGGGTAGTCGTAGGAGGTTGGTGGAATTGGAAGTACTGCGGTATTAAATGTGAGCTTCATTTCAGCTGCAGTTTCTGAGTGTTTCACAGATCTGCTGTCAAGAGAGAGGAAAAAGGAGTGCAGTTGCTTTGAAGTTTTACAGTGTAGTTCTGCACACTGTTTATTATGGTGCTTTTGCATCCTGCTTTTGTTTAACCTGAGCTGCTAAATGAAAAGATAGAGTCTCAGAAAACGTGATAGAAGTAGCACCTTAAATACTTCTCATTAATAAAAATGTTTAAAAGGGGATAAATGGAATCAAAAGCTGAATCTAATTGCAGAAGATATTAGGAAGGTTCTTCAGTTTGACATCAAAATACATGAGCAGTTCTGAAACAGATTGATTAAATAATTTTGATCTGAGTTAATGTGAGTTTTGACTTACTCTAAATATGTCACAGAAGCACTCTTGGAGACCATGTAAATGTTGTAATTTTTGTGAAATCAAAATGTACGTTTATTTATTTTCCTCATTTGGGAAATGCAAACATGCGGTTACACATTTCTGTAAAATATTTTTTGATACCCCATCATGCAGAAGAAAGGAAAAAGAATTAATTTTCTTACTTGAAAATAGTCCATAAAAATAGAAAGCTGTTTAAGAATTTAAACCAGCACTCAGTTCTATGGTGAGAGCTGTGCAAACAAGTAAAATCCAGATAATAGCTTTAATTCCTTTCATCTCTCTAATCAAATATGGTTTAGGTTGTCTAATAGTCATCTCACTTAGCTGGTTTTATATCAATTTATTTTCTTTCCTTAAAACTCATAGGGCCAAGCTGTGAAAATATCCTGTGGTCATCAGCCAATATTTTTGAGCTGGATGGAAACCAGGCATCGAGGTCACCAGGGTGAAAATAATGCAGAGATTAACAGACATTTGGCAGAGAAACTTGGCATCACAGATGGAGAGCAGGTTTGAAATGCTACCTTTGTTTTCTATTTAAATAAAGAGTATATTGGAAGATAAGTGAAAAGGTAATACTACATGAGTTAGCTATGACCTTGTTTCATGTATTTAGACAGTTTCTTCATTTGCATCTGCCCATGAGAAAAGTTAACTATCATGAAATGTCTCGAACATGAAAAGATTGGCTCATTAAACCATTAACAGATGCCTAAACAATGTTAGGCTTCTGGGTAGATCTTTGCAGGGTTATAACAACTATCTTTAGTGACATTAATTTTAAGAAAATACACTTCTAAGCAATTGAAAAATTTGGAATGGGAATATTTGCTTTGGAGCTCCTGTAATTTTAAAGTAGCTATTGCCTTTCTGCATATTCTTGTTGGGGTTTAAATTTTCATCCCTTTTTCGCCCCTTCACCATATATCCCTTTGTCTTTGAAAAATTGTATTCACCTCTTATGGATATCTGTCCATCTATCTATTTATCTCTCTATCTACTCGTTATACATTCACCTCTTACTCCTGAACACTCTGTTAAACTTTTCATAAATGGCTCTTTCATTGACAGAAGTTAGAGATGCTCAAGAGGAAGACAGAGCTTTCTGACATGGGACTATTAAAATCACAAATCAAAGGATTTATTTTATTACTAAGTAGACATTTAAACAAACAAGAATAAAAAATACTGCCTTACACAGTGTCATTGTGTAGTATATTTATATTTTTCTATTCTCTTATATACAAAATTTTGTTCAACATCATAGAAGACATCAAAGAGTGTGACTCAGAGCAGTGTATTATGTTACTTTGTTTGCTTTTTAAACATATTTTCTCTAGAAATTATGTGTCTGTCTGCATAAATTTCCAATTTAGTAGTGGAGAAGCCAGGCATCTACCTTTTTTATTTCTAGAAACTAATAGCCTTCAACAGGAAAACAATTGACAAAGGAAACCTAAGAAAACCTCACCCAGGTATTGCTGGGAATACTCATCTGTATAATCAAATAAATACATGATTAATTAGTTTCACCATCGTTTTGGATTCAGGAGTTACATGTTTGCTGTATAATCTTATTTTTGCTGTGCTGGGGAAAAGATATTCCTCTCAATTTTTGCTTCAAGCTAAGGACATAGGGGATTTCAAAACAGATGGTTACTTTTACAAAAGGTGACCTAACGTAATTCTGTCAGAGGACAGGTATCTAGTTTTATCTCAGGAAAAAAAATAGTGACATTCTTTGAAAATTAATTGCAAGATGTTGTTTGCTAATTGCTTTTGTGGGTTTTTTTTGTCATATGAAACCTTTGGCAAAAACTGACTTTTGAAGTCTGTATTTAAAGCATTCTGAAAGACCTAAGCCACAACAGCTTCTACCATTCCTCCTGATTCACATGATATCAAAACTGTTCTATGGAGATGGGGCTGCTTCCTATGAAACCATTCATTTAGGAGCTGGGCTTGCTTTTCCATTACTTTTTCCCTTTTTTTACAGCTGGTTCTAAATTTATGTGCAAGTGAATTAATTTTTCAATTTTCTAAAATCCTGGGGACTTAAAAATAAAGATTTAAAAATGGAAAGATGGTGATGTGATCAAGGTGTATTAAAAATGGATTGTTTGTTATCACCTGATAAACTCTGGATGCTTTTAATATTCACTGCTTATTGATGTCTCTGAGCCTATTGGGATCCATTTCCCATCCACTGAGCATTCATCTGCTTATGAATTACCTGGTGTCATTAGGATGGTGTTCCAAGTAGTGAAAACATACAGTGAAGGAGATGTCAATTTTCTAGTTGAAATAAAGATGGAGCTTTTATATAAAAAATAAGGAGTTAAATATTTTGGTGTTACTTTTGCCAGGTTTTTCTTGAACCCTGTTCCCATGTGTCCTCCTGTCAGCAAGTAGAAGTGGAACCACTCACAGCAGATGATTGGGAAATTCTGGTAATAAAACCCCTTCCATTGTTCATGTTCTTGTCTTACAGATGACAGAGATTCTGACTCAAGCAGTTTTTTGCACAATGCCCCATCCCCTTCACCTCTAAGGAAATACTAAATGTGGTGGACTTTAGTTGTATTTGTATTTCAAATATGTGTATTGAAAAGAGACATAGGAGTTTTTTCTTCAAACAAATGTTAAAAAGATATGCAGTATTTAATTTATAATGGTGTCACATTTCCCCAGGAGCTGCATGCTTCCTCCCTTGAAAGCCACCTTCTGGACCAGATTCGAGTGGTGTTTCCAGGAGCCATCTTTCCTGTCTGGGTTGAGCAGCACACCCATGTTTACATCAGAATCGGTAAGCAGCGCTCAGGGCTCTCAGGGCACCTCCAGGAAGCTGCTTTGCAGGGGTAGATGCATTCATTGGCATCTTTTGCTCATACTTAGGTGCACTTGTGCCACCAGCCCCATATGGGAGATTAGAGCCATGCACGGAGCTTCTGGTATGTCCCAAAACACACGGACCTGAGGAGAATATCACCAGCACACCTGCCACAGAAAGTGACATCTTGCTCAAAAATTTTGTGAAAAATAACATGGAACAAGAAGAAACACTAAAGGATCCTTTTGCCAAACAACCTTACTTAAAGCCTGGAGCCCTTGAACAGAGTAAGACTGATTCAAACATGACGTTTGGCTCAAATGTTCTCCCAAATATATGGAATTTCATAGGGAACATTTTCTCTAGTACATCTGAGCAGAAACAGAAGATTTCATGTGATAAGGATGAAATGAGCGTCTTCAGAGACAAGCTGCTGAACTTGATTCACATGGATTCCATTTTTAGAGTGTGTCAGTCCCAGCCTCCCAGCGTACAGAATGTATCCACCACTCATGAATTTCTGAAATGCAATGCTGTTCATGTTTTTCCATGGAATTTAGAATACGTTGATTTAGATCCAAATCCTGTAGTATCTTACGGGAAAATTAACGAGCTGCTTTCCCCAAGACAACGTCATCAAGAAGCAAAACAAAATCTGCCACTTGAAAAGCAAAATCATTTGACTAGTACACAAGACAAAAACCCTTCTAATTCTATTAGCAGTGAAGCATCCAGTGAGGGATCTGTTGTTCAAATCGTTTGGAATGGATTTGAAGATCTAAAGAGTGTCATAGAGTATGGCCATGATGGGGGAGCCCTGCATGTTGGAAGAGTTTGGGTCAGTTTGAGCACACCATATTATTTTATAATATTTTCTATTGGATAGTTGTGAGCTGGCTACTTAACCTGTGGTGTTGGGCTGTAAACTTTGTGTTAATCTCTTGAGTTTTCTAGAACCAAATACTGTTTGCTAGAGCTGTGCTTTGTACTCATTCTGGACTACATTACTTACCATCATGCTCCAGGATGTACAGTGTGCTCTGGGTTTTTGCACACTTACCATTTTTACACTAAATGAGGAAAAGGCTTCAGCGTTTCTGAAGGGAATAAATGCTTGCTTCACAACCTGCAGGTAGCCATTGTATTAACGAGAAAGTGAAGTACCTATTTACATACATTCAGTCCTTTATTATGAGACTCTTCATCAGTTAACTCTTTGAAATGTGCATTGACCTAGGGGTCATCAAAGTGTAAAGTAATGGCATGGTGTATCCTTGTGCTGCATAATGTTTGTGAGTCCTTTTATACAGTCTTTAAAATACATCCTGAAGATGAATATCCAATAACCAGCTTTAGTTTTCACATGTCATTTTGCCAGGTGGCACAAGTCCGGGTATGGAGACACTGATGTTTCAGCTTGTTCTATAGAACTACTGCCTGTTCTTTCTTTCCTGGAAGCACATGTGGGATCAACAAAAACAAACCAAATGTGCTCCAAATCACTATTTGACTATTTTGACATAGTATAATTCTCACCATTCACTCATTGCTGTATTAAGAATGAGAACAAGAGCCTGCAGTGGTCTTTGCTGTGAAATCTTTTGACAGACAACAATTTTCCAAATGCCAGCTATCATAAAGTCTCTCACAGTGAAGAAATATTTATGACATGTTTTCCAATTGATGTAAGTTTTAAAATAACAGATTGAAAAGGAGTTTCCTTAAAAGGGCAAACTGATTAGTATGATTTAGGGAGGCTGCATTTTCTGTCTCTCTGCTGCAGGGGTGCTTAGTTTTGGTCTCATGATGATCTGTGTATATTTACCTACCTGCGTGAAATAATTTTAATCAGCAAATGAAATTAAATTGTTATTTTTCTCCTATACTAAGAGCATTCTTGCAATGTTCTAAGAATTTTTTCTACTCCTTTTCTGAGCTTTAAAGTTTATTAAGTTAGTAGGAGGTCAGCTGTTCTGAGCACTTTCGCAAATAGGACAAAAGGTAACTAGAAGTGTGTGTGTAAGAGTAAGATTTGGATATCACTGTCAATGTTATAAATTCCTGCCTAATTCTCTTTAGGTTCCATTAGTGAAGAAGTTGATGTAGTATTATATATGCAATGTTATAACTAGCTTACTTTCTAATGCTTTTTTTTTGCTTTTATTTTAAATATTTCAGATTGCAGATGGTCTGAGGAAAAAACTACATATTGAAATACATTCAACAGTCCGAATTAAGTCAGTTGAATCTGTTCCTAAAATTCCTGTATCTCTTACGCTGCAACCCAAACAGAACTTAGTGAGTTGATATTGCTGCTCACATACTTGTGCATATATTGGGAAACTGATAATGTTGCTCTGGTCAAACTGGGGGGGGGGGAGAGTGGGAAGGAGGGCATTGTGTTTATTTGTTCTAATTTGTTAGATAATGTTCTCTATAGAAATAATTCCAAAGGATTTTTCAGGGGGTATAATTTCTTGGTTTTTCATTTGACTATGTAAATTTAAGTTAATAGATTGCTATGATCTACTTAGACAGAGCTTATCTGGTATTTGTATTTTGATTAATGTACTGGAAACAGGGTTCTTTTTTTTAGGGAAAGGGTATATGAGGAAGAGAGGGGTGTAGTGAGCACCTGAGATCTCAAGTCTCAGGTCAATATCAGTGCATATCTTCAAACCTGGGGTCTGAGCAGTGCCCTTGGATCTGGGAAGGCAGATAAGTAAAACAAAAATAGAAGTTTTTTGTTGCCCTCATATCAGTGTTCTGAGGAAAAAGTCTTTAGAGGTGGTCTAATACTCAGCTGTGGCCATAGCAGGAGCTGCACAGATGTTTTCCCTAGAGCAGTTGATAGAAATGGTGTTTGCTGGCAAAATGGTGTTTTCTAAATGAATAAAACTCTTACTTCTTCCATCTCTCTGCTGCCGTAAGAGAAACAAATGCCTCATGCATTGGAAGAAAACATTTGTACTTATGAACACCTGGTTTTGTTTTATTTAACTTCTTCCATTTTCCTGTTTAGCGTAAAGATATACATGAAGATGATGTTAAATGTGCATTCAGTTCTTGGCTGCAGGATTCCACTACTGATGATCACCCATGGATAATGACAAGCACAGACTGTATACATCTGTCTGTTAAAGAAGGCAAGGATAATTCTGTCCTGTCTACTGTGGAATTTACTTAGCCAGTATGCCAATTAATTTCTGTTTACACCTTTTAACATAACTGATACCTCTTCACACTGAAAGTGTAAGCTTGAGTTACCCCTTAATAATGATTAATCTTTTTTACTCTTTCATTTTTGATTATATTATAGCAATATTCTAATCTGTCTTATCTTGTGAGGAACAAAAACTCAATGTATTTGGAGTTTTAATAGTTGTTCATTGTATTTTTACAGGAATAGAGGAATTTGTCCTTAGTGCAGCGCATCCCGTGCACATTGAAGAAAATAAATCTGAGAATATTTTTATACTGAGTCCCAGTTTGCTGCAAAAGACAAATATACAAGTAAATATCACATAGTATCAGGTATCAAGTAATTTAAATTGTTCTACTTGTTTAAAATGTATTGCATTTTGTATATATTTCAGTTTCCCTTTTAAAGTAAATAATGTCGGTCTATTCATAAAGTTATATCTGCATCCTCTGTGTCATTTATAGCTTGAGGGCCTGCTGAAATTCCAGGCATGTCATGCTTGTCACTGAGTGTCATAAGAGTTTGCATATCAAACTCTCAGAAAAATCAGTTCAAAGAGAGGAGAGTCAGTGCTGTCCATGTTTGAACATCCTTACACTTATTTGTATATGTACCATCCTTACATGTAGTTGTTCTCTCCCTTGGTAACTCTCCTACCACACTCAGCCTGCCTTTCCTCTGGTACAGTTTGTGTGCCTTCTGCTTCTTCCATATTTCATTTCTCAGGAGAATAAATAGTTCTATTTAATATGAGAATTACTGCTTCCATTAGTAATTCCAGTTGATCCACTGCCCATTATTTCAGGGTTATGATTATAGGAGTAGGATAATGTTTTCTTAATTTTTAAACATACAGTGAATTTTAGTGGAAAGATAAAAGTGTTTTTTGGCTGGTTAGAATAGAACTTGCCTGCAAAATTTAGAATTGCTGTTAAAAAAATAATAAAATGAACTTTCTTGTACTAAACTATAAGAAGACTTCTAGAAATTGTTCAAGTGACTGAAACTAAGATGAAAGAGCAAAATGCATTTCTTAATAGCTATGTCAACATCTCCTACTAGCCTGTTTTTACCTGTGAACCTCTGCAACCCCTGTTTGCCTGCCCAGCTTTCCATGCTAGCTCCCTCATGAACAAGATGGAAAAATTCATGCCAGGTGCTTTGTCAAGTTACTTTTCATCCAATCAGATTCCTGATCAGGTTCACTATTCTGCCTCATCAGCTCTCCTGCCAGCAGGACAGGGGGAGAGCTGCAGGTAGGGAAAGAGACAGTGGGCTGCACAGTCTGTTATGAACAGCTCTTGGCCCAAAATCTAATCTTACGTTATTAAATTACTGTCAACACTAGATTGTGTTTTGAAAGTAGTTGTATCTCTTCCATTTCAACAATGCACCTTTCTTTCAGGCACAGCAAAGCATACATGCAGTGTTATCTTTGCACAAGTCCAGAAATGGCTGGTCCCTCCATAGCCTTCTTCTGTAGTTATATTTCATCTAAAGTCATAACTCTCGTTTGTTTTAGGTTCTTTTACATCCTCTAAGTACAAAAGCTGATGATGACAAGCAGCCACCCATGCCTGATAGAGACAAGATCCTTCCATACCACAAACTAAGCGATTTAGGGTGAGACATTTTTGTAGGAAAAAACATGGGAGGGAATGGGAATGAGAATTAGAAAAAAAATAGCATTGGTGGAAAAGCAGACTTCTTGGAAACTATGCCAGATCTAAGCAAAACTGCATCTTTTGGCTTGTGTCAGTTTTTGCTGTTCTAAGTATTATGAGCAGACTTCTACATAGCAGCAAGGGACAGTGGGGTAGTTTTAGCTGGGGTGTTCAAATATACAAAATTTTTAAGTTGCAGTCTGCCAATGCATGCCCTCCAGTAACTTCCACCTGTTTACTTGTTCAGCTACATTTAATAGTAAGGGTCTGGAAGAACTGTAGTTCCTAAAAGTTTTGTTGCAGTCATCATCTGAGGGGAGAAGTGCGGAGTGCTGTGGTCATAAGTGCAAGGGAAAAAACAGCGGTACAGTGTAGCAAATGTGAAGGGGTGGGGCAGAGGAGACGTGGGAGGCTTGGAGTGTTGTGATAGCGTGCTGTCAGTGCTGGGAAAGGCAAGTGAGAGTAGTCTGTCAGCATTCTAGCTCCCCCATAGTGCAAGCTTTTCTGCCTACAGAGTGTGCACTGATGTTACCATAGGCCATTTACTGTTTCCTTTCCCCTGCAGAGGAGTGGACAAATTAGGCACATCATTATTTGAACACATAAGCCACAGTCTTCTGGGGCGTCCTTTATCCCAAAAGCTGGCTGCTAATGCTGTGGGACTGCGAAGTGGAGGGGTGCTTCTCACAGGAGGAAAGGTACTCGCTTCTGCTTTCACCTTCAAACCCTTGCACATTTTTTTCCATGGTTGCAAACTGGTTGACATTAGTTTTCTTTGATACTTTGCACTGAAGATACTTTGTTCTGAGGAATAAAGAGCAAGCTGAAAAAAAAGAGCAGTGAACTGAACAGAGATAATTCAGTAAAACATTTTCACACACTCTGTGTGCAATCTTCAAAACATGTGTATATAAATATATATATTGAAGAATGCAGTTTCAGTAGGGGATTAATCTACTTTGTGTTAATATTATGATAAGCACCTCTTGTCTTTGAATTATTTGAAGAAAAATAAGCATATATTTTCTCTTGTATTCTGACATAAAATGGCAGTGGGGTTGATTCTGTTATTTTGCTGTTGCCTCTTACAGTGATCTATTTAATACCATATGGCACTGAGCTCAGTGAAATCAGAACACTGTACTGGATGTATCCGCTCTGAATTTCTTTGTTTCACTCTAGGGCTTTGGTCCCTACCAAGTGATACAGAGACAGAATACATACTACTTTTACTGAGGAATAATCCCAGTGTGTGTACAGCTTCCCCAGCTTGTTGACTGGTGCATACTGTGACAAGAACACAGAAACACATTGCCTCTGTCAATTTACTTTAGCTCACATTTATTTTTGTAGGGAAGTGGAAAGTCAACATTAGCAAAGGCCATCTGCAAAGAAGCTTTCACTAGACTGGATGCTCATGTTGAAGTAATTGATTGTAAAGCTTTAAGAGGTATGACAACAGTTTATTTTAATCTCAAATTTTTGCTGTACAATAAAGGCACAGTTATGAAGTTACTATATTTGGTCTGAATAATTTTTTTAGCATTTTTGCTGTTTTCACAAGGATGTTTGATGCCCCACAATTACTATCTTCAACAGTCTGATGAAAATACAGCTACTGTAAGTTTATTTCCCATTTCCATCAGTTTCTGTCCCACATACCACCAGCAATTCAAACCATGCTTGCCATGCTAATTTCTAATTGTTACAAAATAGAAAGAAGTTGCAAAAATTAAACTGTGTTTTTGCAGCTGTGCTAGCTGGAGCAAATGTTTTGTTAACAAACCATAAGTGTTAAAGGATACCCGTACTCAGTGAGAGGATAACACAGGCCCCAAAGAAGGATCAAATGACCAACTGAAACCTGATTTATGGTGGCATATTTACTAACCTAGTGCATTTGGCATTAGGCATCTAACACTTGTGATTAGAGATGATGAGATGACTCCTTAGGCTTTGTGAGTTCAAAATAATTATTTTACGCAAAGACGGAAGAGCACAAAGGAGGCATTTTTCTGCTCTTGCATTTCTCTGGCTTTTCTAAATAGTCTTGCTGTTACAAGGGCAGAAAATACTCAACTGTTTTCTTACAGAGCCCTTGTATTTCCTCATCTACTCTTTTTGCTTAAATCGCTACTTTAGCTGGAGCTCCTTGCACCAGAGAAAAGGGGAAAGATTGATGATGAGCTAGGTTCATTTGCTCTGGAAAATTCTTCCAATTGCAGGATTCTTTAGTAGCTATTTTAGAATGCTGCTAATATTTCTCTGGTTTTAACTGTCTGGAAATTAGGCTTGTAGGCTTCTATAGTGGTTAGTAAAAGATGATTAATCTCATTTTAGATTGTGTGGAGCCTTCTAGTACTTTTTTGGTTGACGGTGTGGACTCTCTTCTTTAGTGATTGTTGATTCTGTTTTAATCTTGGTATCTGAATTTATAGATGTGAAGTCAGAATAGACAAAATAAAACATTGTGAGCAAGATGTAGTCACTCTGATTTTTTCCTGATATTTTGTGTCATTCTAATAGTATTTTGTTTTAGGAAAAAGATTAGTAAACATAAGGAAACATGTGGAAGAAGCTTTTTTAGAGGCAGCATGGAGACAACCATCCATTCTTCTGATGGATGATCTTGATCATATTGTTGGAGTACCTTCTACACCCGAGCATGAGAACAGCCCTGAAACTGTTCAGAGCAATAGACTTGCTTATGGTATGTTCTGCCTTTGTCTAGACAGAAATATAATGCAACTTAGAATTTCTTACCACTTGAGTTGTATACTGTCCTACGTGAACAATTCTGTCTGTATCATTATTGCCTCTGGACCATGTGATATTCAGGCAGAGACTCACAAATTATGTATGCAGGCATTTGTTGATCCCTAGCTGAATCAAAATAATGCACTCTGGATCTTGGGTAGTCCTTGCCAATGTGCATCCACCACTGCTGCTGGTCATGCCTGTTGTCAGTACCACTGCCAGTGCTTGAGGCATCTCTGTTCTTTTTCTTGTTACTTATACAGCCAGATAGTTGCAGTTGAATACAAATTGCAACTAAACTTTTAATTGATCATTTCTGATAAATTGATTTATTGTTTTCCATAATTGTTATTTATAATTACAGTGATACGTCAATTTGATAATTACTGATGTTGAGAACCAGGTCATTTTAGATGAGTACCATCTTCTTTATCATCCTGCTTAGCATACATTGTAGAACTTCTGTTCTCTTTTACAATGTAACAAATCACAAATGTTAAAAACAAGATGATCAGTTGTAGTTTGACATCCTGTATATGGTTCCCTTTTATTCCTGAAAGTCTAGGCAATGCTAAGTTGCAAATTAAATCTAAATAACCAAGATTAATAAAGCCATAGCCTTCCATTTCTTAGCTCAGTTTGAGGGAGTTAGAATAATTTTTACTGAAATACTTCTGAAATTAAGAAAATCTTACTATAATTTCTTCCTAAAAAATGTGCTAAGTTACATGCAGAATTGTTTGGTTTTCTTATTACTTTTACTTAAAGGTGTAATGCATATAACAGCTTTAGAGTTTTAAAGATTTTTTTTCTTGAAGATCTATCTTGCATCCTTAATTTTTTTTTTTACTTTTATGTAATACCTTTCTCCTGGAGTGCTTATTTTCTAGGCTTAAGATCTGGGTTTTTTTCCTATAACTTTTTTTTTGTTTGCAAGGAGGGAGTAATAGCACACAAAAGTAGATACCATCAGTGACATTACAAAATCAGCTTTTTAAAAGCACTTCTGATGGCATTTTCTTAATGGAATGTGCTGTCCCAGAGAGAATCACTTTTTCTTTTTTATTTTTTCGTTTAAAAAAACAACTGTAAACATGGGAATAAAAAAAATATGTTACAAAGCTGTTGTATTTTGTTTGTACTAATGCTGCTCTCCAGGTTAGGGTTATTTTTGTTCTTTTGCAATTCATGGAGCAATTTCTTCTGTGTTTAGTTTTGAAAGATCTGATGAAAGAAGTTATTTCCATGGGGAGTTTGATTGCATTAATTGCCACGAGTCAGTCTGAACATTCCCTTCATCCTTCCCTGGTTTCAGCACAAGGAACTCATGTATTTCAGTGCTTCAAATGTATCCGATCTCCAGATCAGGTAAATTCAAATAAAAATGCTTAAAATGTTGTTTGCCTTCCCAGAAGCCTCAAGTATGATGCTGGAACAGCTGCAAAAATAGTAGGTTACACCTGAAGATGAAGAAAAACATCTGGGAATCTTAGAAATTCTTTCATGATACTTAAGTACCTCAGAATCTGTCATTATAAAGTTAAAAAAGTAAGAGAGTAATCCAGTAAAAACTCAGAGTTGGCCCCACTCTTCAGCAGTAAGAGAAGGGTGTATTCAGAGGATGTTTCAGTTCAACATGAAACAAGTCAGGTTGTCTAACACAGGTGAGATCTGCATGTCTCCTTGTTACCTCCAAGGGGATGCTGAAGGAGCAGCTTTGTAAAACATGTAAGTCATCAAGTGAGAGATATGAAGTTAAATGTGTGGTTTTTCACAGCTCAGTGAAATAAGGATGTCCCTAGCACATGCATTTTAAAATTGTTATTAAAACTAAATGTTAATTTGATGGGACAGATTTAGGTTTGTTTTCATATTAATAGTATTCCTCTAATTTTGAACATAGTCTAGTTTAAAAAAAACCTGGATAAAGAGAAGAATGAAAAGTATTAACTTTCATGCAGGAGAAAGCAGATACTTTGAAACCCTCATCCCCTAATGGCTCATTTGTATTTAGCATGAGTTGTTCCTGTCTGTGTGTCTTCAGTCACAGGCCAGCTGTTAAAAGCCACTGAGGAGGGGATGCTGTGTTAGATGCAGTTTAACTTTCTCCCACTTCCTGCAAGTCTGTTTTTATTGTTTTTAATACCAATACTGAAATTAAGGATGAGTCAAGATCGCAACAGATACTATATTATTTGAAGTTTTTTTATCTAGCACAATATATTGTATCTCAAACATATTCTTTGCTCATGCTGTCAAAAAAAAAAAGTTATTTTTCCTGTGAAACAGAAAAAAAGGATGTAAAACAGTAGAATCTGGGGAGAGAGGGATGTTTCTTTATTAATGTTGAATTTAAAGTAGCTCTGGTTAGGTGAATATTTAAAGTTATAAAATGGGTGAATTTAGTGAAGTGCATCTGAAGCGCTAGCATTTGTTTATATTTCTTAGGTTTGGTTATTTAAAAGGTTGGTGTTGTGCAAATATTTAGGAAATTTTAGTAAGTCATCCCTGTTTAGTCTTTGAATTCCTGAACTCCATATAAAAACTCAATTAAAAACTCCATATAAAAACTCCATATAGTAAACTCAATACACATTTGCTGCACAATTCTGTTTTTCAGAAGCAAAGATATGAAGTGCTGTATTCCATAATAAAGAAGAAACTGAATTCTGATCCAAAGGACTTCTCTGATCTTGACCTCCAGTGTATTGCAAAGGAAACAGAAGGTTTTGTTGCTAGAGATTTCACTATGCTGGTGGATCGTGCCATTCACACCTGTGCTTCTAACCAGAGTGCATCAGATAATGGTGGTATGTTGACAACAAAATCTCTTAATTCATAGTCTTACTTCTGTTATCCAGAATACAGAAAGAAACCCCCAGGTTTTATATTTTATGTTTAATGTTTCTTTAATTGTTGTGTATTGTAAGGAGTTTGTTACTGGCAGCCTGTTTGTTTGGAGTTTTTTCAGGATTTTTTTTTCTTTGTTTTTTTAAAGCAGATTTGAACCTGTCAACTGTGGATTTTCAGACAGCTCTAAAAGATTTTACTCCATTAGCTCTGAGAAATGTCAACCTTCATAAACCTAAAGACCTTGGCTGGGACAGGATTGGTGGCTTAAAAGATGTGAAGCAAATGCTCAGGGATACCATCCTGTTACCTGTAAAGGTACTAAGTTCCTTTAAATTAGTTACTTGTATTTTGCACATAATGTTAGTAGGGAAGAATTATTTTTTAAGGTTTGGAAAGTGTTGGATAGAAAGATGACAGGCATGATTTTGAGCTTTCCAATCTTCAACTGTCTTCAGCTACTGGAAAACACTTTCTCCTTCCCCTTCTTTTTTCCAGATAGAAAAGACAATGGCAGAGCTTTACTACAGAGCAAATGTTGCTCTACAGTATTGGAGTATCGCCATACTTGCTTGCAGGGCTTGTGATTAGGCTCTGTAAAGACAACATTTCCAGCTGGTTTTTACAGTGCTTTTGCTAGAGGAGTATTTTCTTTCAGATGAATGCCAATCCATCAGTCTGATTTTACTTTGGCCTTTCTTACTTTCATGCCTTGCTTAAAACTTGAATGTTGACATGAGCCACTGAGCATTGACTCTTCAGAGAAATGACTGAATGGTATATTTGATCATATCATTCAGTAATTAAAATAGAAATTTAGAGCTACTAGTAGGGAGAATGTAAAGCTCTAGTCCATCCCTATTCTGACCTGTTTTGCTTGGTAGAAAATCCCACTTGTTTGTATTTTAGGTACCTGTTACACCTAGGAATCTAGTTCAGCCCCAGGTAAACTAAAAGCAGTCCAAATGAGCTCTTGGGATAATACTGGGGATATAATAAATCAGATGCATTCTGTTTAGACAAAAATCATCACTGGCCAATGATGTTACAGTACATTACATTATTTTAAAATAGATCACATTGAAACTCTTTTCCAGTATCCAGAATTATTTGCAAACCTGCCCATACGGCAGAGATCAGGAGTTTTGCTGTACGGAGCACCTGGAACAGGAAAAACACTGTTGGCAGGAGTGGTTGCAAGAGAGAGTGGAATGAATTTCATCAGCATCAAGGTAGCAACAGTTTAAGCTTAATTGATTCATTTTATTAACTGAATTAAATAGCTTTACATAATACTGAAACTATGTGCTTGTGAGGGCAAAATACCACAGTTAGAAAGTAACATATAAGTGAGTCTCTGGATATCTGATTCCTGGAACTTCACAGTTTTATTACTGAGATTTTTTTTTTTTGTATACTTATTCATTAGGCAGAATTATAAAATTTAATTAGGTGTTCTTAGTTTCTCATTTTTTTGTAAAAAGATCCCAGATTTTGATTCTACTGGACAATGAAACTGAGCAATATATTTTAAACATTTTTTAAATACAGTATAAACCTTTGATTTGAGATAATGTGACACATGTTATGTTACAGTACAACAATGGAAATTATTACTTTTAAATAAGTTGAAATGCTTGAAAAATTCTTCTGGATTATCTAGACCCCTTGGCTCTTCTATTCAGAGATAACACTGTCTTGGTTGCAAGAAAATTCAGTCTAGTACACAAAGTATATGCTGATGTTTGATTACAAATTAAAACTAAGAAACATGTCATGAGTATTGTTTTCTGATTATATCTTTTTAGGGACCAGAACTGCTCAGCAAATACATTGGAGCAAGTGAACAAGCAGTTCAAGATATATTTAACAGGTTTGTTTTGTAAAGATTTGTGATCTATACATTTCACTTGTTGAAGCAGAAATAAATAATTTTGTTGTCTGAGGAGGCATCAGGTCATAAAAGCATCTGAAATAATCAGTTGTGCTGAGCCAGATGGGTGTATCTTGGCAGGTTCAACCTGGCCATCATTTTTAAAGAACTGCCCATTTTGGCTCCAGTGAGGAATGTGCTTTTGAAGCTGAACTCCCAGTTCTCTCCAGCTACAGTGCATTGGTTCACATCATAGTTATCTTGGAAACCACATCCTGAATTCCTTTCAGATGTTTCCAGAAGACAGTACAATTGACTGTACTCCATGTAGTAATGCACACTCAATACCTAGGGTCATATTAAACTTGGTATTGAAGTGCTCAATGCCAGTAGTTCTTTTTTAAATATGTGCTCTTACTGGCCCTCAGTGCTCCCTGATGCCAACATATCCTCATAGCCTCTGCTTCTCAACTTATCATGTAGCAGTCTTTTTGTTAGCTGTCTGTAAGCCAGGAACTCATCTGCAGTGATTGAATTTTAGAGCTTTCATGTATATTAATTTGACAGTTGAGCACTTAGAAATGATAAAGTGAGTGCTGAGTATGTCATAAAAATGAGCAGTAATTCTATTGCAGCCCAGTTTTCAGAACCTCCTAAATTTTACAGAAAGCAGATTTTCTATTCTGTCATTAAATACAACTGTTCTCTGAAGCAAAAAGCAATTACCTTCAATATTTCTAAGCAATTCTAGCAGTGAATGAAACTTTAACAGAAAAATAACTGTTGCTCATTTTTTTCCATTTTAGAGCTCAGGCAGCTAAGCCTTGTATCGTTTTCTTTGATGAGTTTGATTCTATTGCTCCTCGCCGAGGCCACGACAACACAGGAGTCACTGACAGAGTGGTTAACCAGCTGTTGACTCAGTTAGATGGTGTGGAAGGCCTGCAAGGTACCAATTCAGCTGTGTGCTCCTTTTCATGCAGAAATTAAGCAGGTATTAATGGCATTTTTCTGCACTTTCCTAAGGAGTTTATGTGCTAGCTGCTACCAGTCGCCCGGATTTGATTGACCCTGCTTTGTTAAGGCCAGGTCGACTGGATAAATGCCTGTACTGTCCACCTCCTGATCAGGTGAGGAAACAATTCCACATGAGAGGCAAGGAAGAAAACAGACTAATGGGTTTTATTCTCCTTTTCTTTATATGTAGTAGCATTTCAAACTTGGAAAAAGTGGACTTGATTTCCCAGCTCCAGTTGTACAGCAGGATAAATTCACTGATTTTAATGTCAGTGTGCTCACATAAAACTAGGGAAAGAAAAGGCTGTTTACCACAATCTTCTGGATCAAATCGTATCCTGTGGATCTAGCTGATTTAAAAAAAAAAATTAAAAAATAGAGAAATAATTTGCAGAAAAAAATTGGATGCAGTGTAGTGTGTATAATGTTCTCCACCTTACTTTGAAGTATCAATCCAGTGGATTTTCCATTTGCTTAAACCACAGCCAGTCCTTAGAGATTGTACAGTATGTATCCCTGATTCCACATTTTATGAGAAAACATTAATGCTACTTATTTCCAGATTAGTTTATACATTTGATAAATACCACCACATCATTTCATTCCAAAACACATATTATCAACCTGTGCTGCCTTCTTTTTTTTTCTTTTTTTCTTTTTTTCTTTTTTTCTTTTTTTTTTGTTTTTTTCTCTTTTTTTTCCTTTTTTTTCCCTTTTTTCCGTATTTTAAAGTTCTGTTTACAGTAAGATCATTCAGACAAACAGAAGCATTTCACTTTCATCATACTTTTCTTTATAAAAGGACATATGAGGAGCAGAGCTCACCTTCATATTTTTATGTATTTCATATACAAAATCCCAGATATTGACTCAATATATTAGAGAAATATATTCTCTGTATACTACATTTGGTTTAGGTAGTATCTTTCTAGTATTAGGGCAGTATCTTCTTGAAAAAAGATCCTTCCTCCCTCAGAGAGGAAGTGGCTGTGACAGGGCCAAAGAACCATCTAGCAGTCAGGACAATGAAAATAACAGGTTGCTTTACTGACATTTTTTTCCTTTTTTTCAGAATTCACGCTATGAAATCATAAAAGCTCTCAGTCATTCCTTGTCTTTGGCAAATGATGTGGACTTTCAGGATGTGGCAGCGAAAACAGAGCAGTTTACAGGGGCTGACCTAAAAGCTTTGTTGTACAATGCCCAATTAGAGGCAATCCATACTAATTTAAATTTAGGTTTAACACAGGTAAATAAAACTAATATAAAAGAAGTCTCTCCTGTTTATTTTTATGTTGATATGTTTGAAAGAGTTAATTGTATCAATGGGGATTTTTAGCTAAATTATATTTTTTTATATTTTTATACAGAGGATTAACATTTTAAAATGTTTGCAGAAAAATACAAGAATAATGTAATGAATTGGTTTAAATACTTCTTAAACACAAGGTTGTTCTCATTTAATGATAGGTATTTATTGTTAAATAGATATATATAAGCCCAAATGTGTTCATCACTGTTGTGAGGAGGAATTGACAGGAGGGATCCTGCATTGAGTTTTTTAGGAGCAGATAGCAAATTCAGTTTTGAGATGGCACATTTTAGATGATGGAGGAAATGAGAAATTGGTGATTGTTGGGGAGTTGTTCCAGCATATTGGGTTTGACTGAGGTCAGGAGAGAAGTGGCAAGAACATGGCAATACCTGAAATGGCCAGGTCTGCCTCATCTTCCAAGTAGCAGCTAGTACTTGAACTTCCAAAGTACAGGGTTCCACCCTTGGTTTGTATCCCTCATGTGACTCGCTGGCAGATCCTTCCTCTTTTAGCTTCTGCTCAGCCCCCTGTGTTCACATTTTTAATGCCTGTCCTCTGGTTCTAGCTGGAAAGAAGCAGGCATGGCCTCCACTACTCTGTGGCCAAAGGGAAGGGTTGGGTCAGGGGTGCACAGTGAAGGAGACCCTCTTGAATTCTTTTTGCCCTAGCTGTTACCAAGGAATTGGGCTCTGAAGATGTGACTCTTAGTATTGAGAGCGTTTTCCCTAACACTCCCTGCACTTGTAGCATCAGTTGATACCTCATGATTATCCATCCCAGGAAGAGGTTGTTGTCTCAAGCAGTGGTGTCCAGAGAGGTGTGCACACACCCCAGAGAAAGCACAAGGCAGGCCAATGATGTGCAGGAGGAAAATATTAGAACTTCAGTGATACATGTATAATTTAAAAATAACATCCATTTGCTTGGTGGAGTGCACTCAGAAATTTTTGACTGATAGACACCATCAGAGAGGTTTGCAGGCATCAGTTTAAAGCAGCAGTTCTGATTTCCACATCAGCATTTAAAGCTGGCTATAGACTAAAAACGAGTACAGCAGCTAGGCACTATCAAAGTAGACTCACTTCAGCCTCCTAGAGCATTGTACTCATTTGCTTGGCAGGTAGAGACAGAAGTGGTGCAGTTCTATAACACAGCACATGCATGAAGTTTCCCAGTGCTTGCTGTTACTGAGAGTGTGAGGCAGTGGAAACAATAACACCTTAAAATTACACCTGAAACGATTTTTCTAGCATGAAGACAGAAAGTTCTTAAAGGTATTAGATTTTTTGCAGCAAAATATTTAGAAATATACTCCTAGAGAAAGACAGATTACTACTACAGTCAAATGTAAATTGATGCTCTCATTTGCACTGTATATCAAATCTTTTCATGTATTTCTGATTATAGTTTGTTATGAGTTAACTCTTGTAATGTTCTGGTTTTTGTTACAGGATTTTGGATCTAGTTCTGATAGTGACTTCAGTCTCTCTTCCATGGTTTTTCTAAACCACAGCAGTGGCTCAGAGGATTCAGCAACAGAAGGAGAAGCAGGGCTAGAGCACTCTCTTATTTCTTTAGATATGTCTGACCTGCTTCCTGAAGATCCAAGGTCCAACATGTATCGTCTTTATTTTGGAAGCTCTTATGAATCAGAGCTGGGGAATGGAACTCCTTCAGAATTGGTAAATTACTCACTTAATGTTTTGAATTTTCTAAATATTATTAGTTGAGAAGCAGAAAAAACATACCATTTTTCTGGTTCTGTTTATAAATACAATTATGTTGCTTTGACCTTCAGACTGTCTTCAGATTATACTTAGTAGTCCACAGTGAGGAAGGGGATGAAAGGACATGATCTGAGAAAATACAATATGAACTTCTCTGCTACCTTGCAGGAGTTGAAAGTCAAAATCACAAAATACTGCTTAATACCCTATAATTAAGCAAATTGCACTCATGTTAGGTTTTACTCTCTGGTCAAGTGGCTTGTTCCCTTCCAGAGTTCTTCCAAACACTAAAATAAGTTTGCGACTTTTTGGTGGTTGGTTTGCTTGTTTTTTCTTTAACTTAGTTTTATTGCTAAAGAGTGACAACCCAGCTTTCAAGAATTAAGTTACAGTCTCAAGAATCAATGAACCTTTTTCGGTTCCCAACAAAATGTGTATTAATAGAATAGTCACACCATGGAGTTGTGAAAAAGAACAAAACTAAACCTTAACATCTATCATTGTCTTTAAGCCTTTAAGCCATTGTCTCTAATTTGTCCAGATTTCCTGGTGTTGCATCATGCTGCACATAAAGCAGCAGTTCTCTGGCCAGTTTGCTGGTAGGGATGTGCAGGTTGGCTGCCCAGCACCTGCACAGTGATCAGCTCATCTCTTGGCTGGCAGGTCAGCAAAACAGGGTATGCTGCCTCTGAGCTCCTTACAGTGAGCACATGATTTCAGAGTTTGTGTGTGATCTGTAGGAAATTCATTTTCAAAATTAATTTCAATCTTTTTAAGAACTGTTTCTACAAGTAGTAATCAAAGTTCTTAGACTCTTGTTTTCAAAACTATCTTGCATTGATTCTTAAAGCCAAAAATAACTTTGACATTAGAGAAGTAACTACTGACTGCGAAGGTGCTTTGGTATATTTTATCTTGCATTATGGGTGATAGCGTTCGATTAATGTAACTTTAAAGACTTAGTTTTCCTCTGACTGTGAAAATTCTTCAGCAAGGATTCCCCACAAGGACTTTGACCTCCTGAAGTTGTTGAATTAGAAAGGGAGTTACTTATCAAATGCACAGGGAATTTGGAGGTGATGAATATTTAAATTCCAAAGCTACTCGTCCACATTTCAGAACCACTGATTTTCCTAAGTAATTAAAGCAATGGACTTTGCAGACTTTTATTCTTTTTCAGATGGACCATTACAGAAACAGTTACATATTTTCCAGGTGTGAAACCCTTCATTTTCAAATTTGGCCTTCTGCCCAAACACTTTGGCATATTAACTTAAATCTTTCTGTTAAAAAAATCTCATATGTAATATATTTTAAAGAGAAAGTACTCTTTTTTGCCAGTGGAGGCAAGCTTATATTGAATTGTAGGCTAATTCCTAATAATGGAGTTGCTCCTTTGGGTCCATAATGAGTTAATGTATTTCCTCTTGTGATCAATTTAGAGCTCTTTGTGTTTTTCTGGTCCGAACTCCATGACTTACGACTTCACCAGCATCACTCAGAGAGATGTTGCATCCTCACAGCCTGCAATGCTTAGAACAGCTTCTCAAGAAGGCTCCCTGGAGAACCAGGAGCAGCAAGCAGAGCACCTGAGGACAGAAATCAATGCTAGCAAGGCCAGTTACAGAAGCAAGAATGGAGTATGGCGCTTTTAAAAATTATTATTTAGTCTTAATGCTTTTCTGTTGTTTTTTCACACTTCTTGGTATTTCAGTAAACAATTTCTGCAATAATATTAAATACTGTGTAATGAAAGTAGCAAAGATAAGTGATACTTAATTTGAGAAAAATAAGCCAGATGTTAGCATTCATGTAATTTAACAGTTATTTCTGTTATTTATTAATATGGAGGGGGGAAAGTTGTGACTGTTTTTTAATGCATTTGTCTGTACATGTAATGGGCGGTTCCATAGTTAATGATATTGATGGCACTGTGTTTCTGTAGAAGTTTTTCATTTTCTGCTCATGGCTCTTTTCAAGGAGGACAGCACCCTTAATCAATCAGTGCTTCCCAAGACCACTGTGACTATCACCCAGTCTCACCTGATGACTGCTCTGCAGGGAATGAGACCATCCATTAGTCAGGATGACTGGAAGCATTTTACTGAACTGTAAGTATTTTTTTTTCTTAATTTTGAATTCAGTGGAGATGTGGTCTTACCACATTCCTTGTACATCAGAAACACATAGTTTTCAGAAACACATAGTTTTAAATAAATGTGGGGACAGGCTGCAGGTAGCTGATAGCTTTTGACAGCAGTTTTTAAAGAAGTATTAAGTTATGTCGTTGGAAAAGGCAACTACTTTACCAGTGAATTGTCTTATTCATGTAGGACCTAGAAATAACAGACCAGGACCCCCAATATTAAGAGCTGTAACAGTACAAAGAGGCTCTTTAGGTTGTAGGTCTTTCCTGCTTCCACTTAGTAGTAGCTCCTTGTATTTTCAAATGGCTGGAGTGGTCTTTGTAACTGCTCTGTTTGGGAAAGGCAATAATCTGTAGAAGTATAAACATTCTGAAAAGGAGAATGTGTCTCCTTGGACTTGGAGACCAAAAGCTGGGAAAAAAACCAAGGGAAGCAGGGCAGAGAGTTCTCTGAGTTAGGTGTGTGGGTGATAACTCTCCAGGTCCCCAGGTCTGAGGAGACAGGTATTTTTCATTTACTTAAACATCTGGAGTTCTGTGGTGCAATAATATGCATCTGAAGAGGCAGACACAAAACCCACATTTCATAAGAATTTGCTAATGTCTTTTTTTTGTTGTTTATTTCCAGGTATGATAATTTTCAGAATCCCAAGAAGAGGAAAGTACAGATTGGTGCAACATTCAGACCAGGACAAAAAATGACTCTAGCTTAGTGATTTGTATTTGCTTATAATTGCTAAACTGTAACTGGAAATGACAGTTATGATTAAATCAGATTATTTATATTCATATAGATTTATTAATGCAGCAGTTGGAGATAAGTTTCTTTTAAACTAATATGCTGTAAAATTATGTCACATTTTATTTTGAAGAAAATTGTCCTCCTTTAGATTGATATTAAATTTTTTGAGAACATTGGTTATGTTCTGTCCACTTGTTTATCATATAAACTTTTAAACTTTGTTTTTTATCAATTTACTTGACACAGTCTAACAATGATTTCCTGTCCCTGCTTACTCCCTCACAACAAATAGAATCTGGTCAAATAGACTGTAATATTAATGGGGGATACTTTTTAAAATAGTCTATAAAGCCATTCTCTAAGGACCTTTGGAGAGGTGGTACTTCATAGATGAAGGTGGTACTTCATGTGTATATTAGCAGGCAACTAGACTAATATTTCCAGAATATACTTTTACACCTATAGCAGGAAAAGCCAGAGCAAGGTACTTGCATCTTGTTTTCTGCCACTCTTTGTTAATCAGAAGAATACCAAATTGCATTTCACAGCACCTGCACCTTCTTACCCCTACTTTTTTTTCCCCAGAGACCGCTAAAAATATTTTGGATGCTTGGAAGCTTTGTAATGTTACATCTGAAATTATTCAAAACTCTTGTCTTCCACGGAGTTTATTAGAGAGTTGTGTTTCTTAACTGATACATAGATAACCAGGTCTTAACACAAGGAGGAAAGAAAACTAGAGATGTTTCCCATTAGTCTGTTTGACTCTTTCACAGCATTTTGCTTCCCCTTCAAAACAGTCTTCATCTCTAAGCCAAGGAAGTACTATATTATCATCAGTTCAAATACTTGCATTTGAAACTTCAGCCCAGGTAATTTATTGATTAGTTCCTGCATTTTTTCAGGTACCAATAGGAGTTTTTACTTACCCTTTCACCTACTGGCTTAGATTTTTCAGTCAAGGGTTCTTTCCTACATCCAGAACCTCTATAAGAAGGTGATCTTCCAGCTCTGTCTGTATCAAAATTGTTTAAAGAACACTGTGGTTTATTACATCTTCTTCACTTGGTAAAGAAGTCTTCAGATACTACAAAAACCTCCAGATTAGCCAAAATTAGCAGCAGTATCTGTTCTTCAATTTAGGTCTAGATAATGGTTGTACAAAATTTCATTAGAAATGGAAATTATTTAATGTTTCTGGTACTGGTGATCTCATAATGCACTGATACTTAACTCTGAAAGGACAGTCACAGGCTAATTGTGATGTAGCAAAGACAGTTCCATAGATTATTGTACTGTCCTCACACTGGGAGTCATTTAATTGGAATACTGTATTTCAGTGCCAGGAATTACATTGCAGAGTTAAAAAGGAAGGTTTGCTGTATGCCAAGGTCTTATCAGTCCTCAACCAAAATTATGTACTACACTGTCATGGAAAATGTTCTTAAAACCCAGGAAGTCAAAGTTCCAAATCTCTGTTTTTCCTCCTTCCTCCATGCAAGGAATTTCACCAGTGAATGAGCTCAGTGTTAATTCAGACATTCCCCTGCATACATAACCTGGGTGATGCTGAGGGCAGGTTCATGTGATCCAGGGAGGTCACTGAATAACTACCTGCTGCTAGGTGATCTTTGGTTACATTCTGAGTTGCATTGACATCTCTCCTTGGAAGAGAATGTAAATGAAGCCTAGCTAAGATCTGTTGTAAGTCTGATGTACAAGGAGCATTAAGCCTGTAGCTCAGAGGAGGATAATGCCTTCTCTTCAAGTGTTATGCAACGTAGAGACTCTTGCACGAGGCCTGGGAGGGAGAGGCTCTCCAAGAGAAAAGGGACTGATGACATTTGATTCACATTCTGTAGAGCAGTAGGATTTTGCTGCAGTGGCTCATGATGACAGCCCAGGCTGACAGGCAATGGGTGTCATGTTTGAATCTGTTTTCTGATCTCCTCCCTCAAGTCAAGAACTAAACCAGCTCTGTGAAGCAGCATCTAGAGATGAACAAATCCTGTGCCTCCTCACTTGTTCTCCTATCACTACCTCTCTTAAGGGATGATGATGTCTGTTTATCTGGGTATACAGTACAGCCCTTATAAAGGTTTGATAACCTGGGGTAGCTTTTTTTTGCCACTTCACTTGTCACCAACCTTGTCAGCTGTCATTGATCTTTCCTCCACTGCCTACCAGTCTTTCCCTATAGTTGAGGAACTTCTGAGGAAGTCTTATACATAAATGATGTAAACAGTAACCCTGTTTCCAGTGTGCAAGGAGTTCTTTAAATTGTTTAATAGAACTTGGTTTCCACTACTATTCAAAAATTTTTCTTAAAATGAATTTTATGTTTGGAGCTATCTTCTTTCAGCTGGTTAGCTGGCATTTTTTTCAAACAGTAGTTTGGAAAAATCTACATGTTTTGAAAGTGATCTGCCATTCTAGACTGTATTGACTGAAGAGTTTCAGGGGGGAAAAAAAGTGAGGTGGCAGGTCAGTTCTGTTAAATCCTGGTTTAATTGCTGCAATTAACTCTACTGAGAAACTTATATGTCTGAATGATGAGGGAATCTGGTAATTCTTAATGATGAAAATCTTACAGACTTGCTTTTCCAAGAATTGGGGGCATTGGGGCACATTAAATCTCATCCAGTGTGTTGCATCCTTTTAATGGTATTCTGCCATAAATCACATCTATTCTTTGGGAAACAGTATTTCTGGTGTATGGGAAAAGTTTCACGAGGTCATTGATTGTCTAATTTCTTAAGGAATCACACTTTGTTCTATTTTCAAAGAGAAAAATGGAAAAGATTTCTTAATCCATTTGAAATTAACTTAAAAGATAAGCAACATCTGTGGAGGCTTAAATTACTTAGCCTTCTGTTCAATAGATGATGTCACCAGCTAGAACTCTGCTTGACAATATTTTAAGCATGACAGTTAACAGCCTGGTTAAAACACATGAATTTTATCATTTATATTAGATTTGAAATGTACTTTAGCTTTTAGTTCACCAAACAAGTCTAAATTTTGTGTGGACCAATCTGTGGATTTAATGTCAAACAGGGAGTTTCTCCATCCCTCTCTTGTGGCATTAAGGAAACATAGTCAATTTCTCCAGCCTAAAACCAAATAAATATTTTAAAACACAATTTCAAAGCAAAAGCATTGCATAAACTTGATTTTTTTCACAGGCTATTTTACTCCAGTTAACTGGGTGTGTGTGTGATATATATAAAAATTATTAAAATATATAATTGACTTTTTAATCTTATTAATGTAATTTATAATTTGACTTCTTGCCTAATTTATTTATTAACTCCCAGTTATTGCAAAAACAGTAAAATCCATGCATTTTGTATCAGTGCATGAGGATCTGACTCCTTGTTTATTACTTCATAGCTCCTGAGCTCATGCAGTAGGGTGGGAGTGAAGCCTGCTTTCCAAGAAGTTAAGATAACAATCATAAATCCATAAGCTGTGAAGGAACTTTGAAGAGACCAGAAGCAGAACAGAGTTTCTTGCATGAGTTCATCAGCTATTTGCAGAGTTAATCCTGTGGAACAAAGGTGGGAGACTGGACTCCAATTTGTCAATGTCAGTTGTCAGGTAAGGATTCACTTGTCTCTCACAGGCATCATTTGGGAATAACCCATTTACTGCCACCCCTTGAGAATTTTGGCTTAAAGGTTCAATTACTTGAGTTTTCCCCTTTCTAAAATAACTCAAACAGTAACAATCTGTCTTACATACCACAGTGAAATGGAAATCTGTTGACTAAGGTTTAGCCTGCTGTTGGAGTGATACAACAAAGAGGTCCAGGATTAAATATTTCCAGACGCTCAGGCAGTAGTAGAAATGCTAAATCAGTTTGCTGGTGTTTAGGTCACAAGTGTAAATCAGATTAACAGGAGAGAAGTGGGAAAAATCAATTCTCTCTATCCTCTAGCAGCAGGCAGGGCTTTTGTAAGACTTTCATGTATGTGGCCTTTGTGTAATGTCCTACAACAGTCATGTCAGCTGCTATTAGGTAACCAGGGCAGATTTTGCATCTCTCAGCAGTACTGTCCCCTACCAGTCTCTAAAGTGTCCAAAAGTCTTTAATAGCTTGAATTAGTTGAAATGATTTAGTGAAGACTGGTATCCCAGGGACAAAGTCAGTCTGGGACTCCTGAGTACAAAAAGATGCGCTCGTTCTTCACTGTTTACACAAAACCAGCTCTTAGGATACTGCAGGAATGATCACTACCTATGTAGGCACAGCTACAGCACAGTATGGAGCTTGTGGAGACCCAGTGTGGACATGGATTTTGGTACATCAAAAATTACTAAGGTAATGCAGGTGTTGGGCAAATTTCCCTTATTTCCAGAGATCAGCAGCTTTGTAGAATAAAAAGCAAAGAATAAAAACCAAAATGTTTGCAACCATCCACAAAATGCCATCAGTGCCAATTTATATAATTCCAGCATTAGCACCGGCAGGATTAAAACCATCCACATGGTTTTATGCCCATTTTCTGTTGGGAAGGTATCTAGGTCCTTCAGATGAACTAATTACAAATTCAGTGCTAATCTCCACTTCCATAATTATTGCCAAATTTCAGGAAATAAAATGATTTCTTAATAATATATATTACTTTATTGCAATGCTTGTATATTGCCAAAGCACTGCTGAAGTTATTTTATAACTCGAGGATCAAATTCATGTGACCTTGTTGAGATACTTAAAGGCTACAACAGGAGCTATTTGGTGGTTTACTGTTTTAGTGTTTGCCAAGAACTAAGTCTTATCCCCATTTTCTAATGGCCATTTTTCCAGTAGTTAAAAACCTGTTCATTTTCTAAATGTCTAAAATACATTTTCTTCACTGTTAAAAGATCAAAATGTCCTTCATTAAGGACAGGTATAAAGCATAGATGCAGGAAAAACCCACTTGAAGTCAGCATGTTGAAACTTGTTTTTTCTACAGGTCCTGGGGAGAAAAAGGTCTTGGCTTTGCTCACATCAGCATCTGCCTCTAGGCACTAGAGTCCTAATCCTCTAGGACTGACCCCAGCCTTTCTTCCCATGTTTAGGTGATTGGATCTCTCTGTCCTTCCTCAGCAGCTGCCCAGCACTGCAGGTCCTGCTGGCTGAGCCATTCTTGGTGAGGACAGTGGGTCTGAAGCAGAACTCTTGCAGTGGGGAGCAGGCAGAGTGCTGGGGTGGCATGAGACACACGGGGTTGTTCCTCTCTGTCCGTAAGGGATGCAGGGCCCCTGCACCATGGAGCACAAGGAAGAGTTGATCTCTCCTAAGGGGCCATGGTTGGAAGGTACTGCAGAGCCTCCCCAGGGTGCTCCTTCTTCCCTGAGCAGCTGGGGCAGGCAGGCAGGTGGAGAGAGAAATGCTTATGAGAAATATTAATTTCATTTCTTAGTTTAAAGTGGATATCTTATCCCAGCTCCCTGCTATGGTGAAATGAATTCCAGAAAAGGCTGTAGGGTGGAACACAGCCTCTTCACAGGTCCTTCTTTGGTGAGATGGAGCTTGGGCCATTCACATACATTAACAGACATTTACAGGGAACAATCAGAAAAACCTGAAATTGCAACCCAAGGCCAAGCGAAGAGACTGCCCTGTGCAGTGCTTTTTGAGACAGCCCATCATTTTCTCAGACTGCAGAGTGGCAGCAGGGGGGTGTCATAAGATGTGTAGGATTGCACTCATTCTGTGCAGGCACTGTTCTGCTCTGACATTTGTCAACTCTCAGTTTGTCATGCTACGAGTAAATTTGGTTTGCAAATGTTTCCCCTCAAGCACTGCAAGATGTATTTGCCACATAAGTTGTGTAACATTAGTTACCTCTTTGGAAATTCAATCTTTTTATTCTTGCTGATATTTTTTCTCTGTAGGTGACTGATGAAGAAAGTCACCCTTTCCAGCTAGCAGTTGAAAAATTAAAAGCCACATTATGGAAACTAAAAAGCAGGTATCTCAGACAGATCTCAGATTTTCCTGCTTTCCTTATTGTTTTGCAAGCAGCATATGTTCTCAGCATTGAAGTACTTGTACAGTTTCATCTCTGCAGATTTTCAGTCTTGTGACCCAGGTGGGTCCTACTATAGCAACAAGAGCTGATTTTATAATTTGGGCACTGTATCAAAATGCAGAGAAATTCCCTGTACTTTATGAAGGACTGTATTTTATGAAGAACAGTTCTTGCTTTTTAAGACCAAGTTTCTTTCTCTGTAGATTGCAATGAATTCAAGGTGTTGTAAACAAGATACTGTCCTGACCCTGAGAAGAGAGACTATGCTATTGTAACAACCTACTCAGATAATTAAAGAAACATGTGTAATGTGATTTTGTAGAGGTTTTTTCTTAGTTACAGCTAAGAAGAAAATGTCAACAAGTTAAAAAATCTAAAATGTACTTTTTCCAGAGTTTAGGAAACTTCATTTGTTCAAGACACTTAGCATGATCAGGGATTCTATGCTGATTGGGACTGCATAACCAGGGACAATATTGCTTGTCACATCCAATTTTTTCCACATTCTTCTCTGTACTTTAAACTGCTTTTCTTCCCAGTGGAAATGTTTGGTTTTGTGAATGCCACAAAATAGTGCTTGCTAGTATTTCAGGGTAAAATGTTTTCTGATTTTATTGTCTTGATATTCATGATCTGCACACTTGATGGAAAATTATAAATGCACTCACAGCTGTTTGTGAAAGATCCAATAGTGGCAGCACAGGCAAAACAGTAAAACATTTCACCTAAGATGTGGTGATGATGGATGATAGTGATGTTTCAAAACATGAAGCAAGACAGACTTCTTATGTCCTCTTTCAAGACAGAAAACAAGGTTTAACAACAGATAGAGCATATTGTTACAAGGAAGGTCACTTACAAAGCTCAGTTTCAAGGTGACAAATAAAAAACTGGGTATTTTGGATACAGACAAATGTGTGCAGAACTTTTTTTTTTCTTAGCTATATTGAAGTTGTTCCAATTAACTAATTGCTTGATCAGTGTGGTGCCTGTGTTTAGACACAGTCTGTGCCTTTGTCAGACCGTGGGAGCCTGAGCATTCAGACCCTTCCCATTTGATCCTAGCAGAGGGAAGCAGCTGGAATCCCTGCTGTCCCTTTGGCTGTCAGGACGGATCACAGACCAAATTAACTCTTTAGAGATCTTCACATGTTTCTTCTGCTTTCTGGAGATGAAAATGTTCTCATTAATAATATTATAGACTGGTTCTTTGGGTACATATAATACCATAAATAGCTGGAGGAACTAGGCTAGAAGAGCAATTGGGAAACTGCCATCCCACAGCAGCTGATTCTGTGAAAAAGAAATAATGCCTCAGTCTCTGTTTTCTGCTCAGGATATGTCAGAGGTCACCTACTCTAAAGATGATCTTAAGCAAGACATGCTGTGTTTGAGATGCCATTGTTTTTTAATGTTATCTTTTTTCAGGTATTTTCCTCCTGTAGCTGGAGTCAAAGGCAATACACTGAAAGTTTACTGCTTGAGAAGGTCTTGCACACAGTACCCATTAACACTCAAAGACATTGCACATGGCAGGGAAGGTAAATATCAGGGCCTCTCATAAGTAAACTTTTATTTCCTGGAGTTCCTTGGCAGTTATCTTTGCAAATAATGTAATTTGTGGGAATCATGAGTGGATTGAGAATTTGCAGTCCATGACATTTTCTAAATATTAAAAATGTTTAGAATGTGGAAACAAAACATGATTATTTAATTTCAAGTTTATCCCAAGCATGAAGTAATACAGCAACATCATGCTGCTACATTTAAAGTCTTCAAAGCTTGTGCTCTAGTTGTGCATATTACAATGTATTATGGACTGTATATTTTAATCAGAAAACTGAAAATGTTGAATCAGCTGATATTAAAATTTTGCTGAATGCTTTTAACGGGTAAAATGTTTTTCTCTATTCATGAGCTCTGTCTAAGCATATACATCTCTCAAGCATTTGATACACCTTTCTGTATATGCAGGTTGAGTGCTGAGGAGGCATTTAATTTTGACTTTGGGCTCTCTTTCAGATTATTTCTGTGTGCCTGTATTCATTGGATAGCATTTTCACACATTAACTATTAAAAAACCTTTTGAGGTCTGTAATGTATACTCAATTGACAGCATTGCATGGGGACTTCTTTTGCTTTGTTTTTGATTAAAATATTTGCAGAATTAATTCCCTGTCTGCTCCACTATTTAGGTTTGGTAAGAGGAAACTAGAACTGCAGAATTAACAGAATGCTGCCATAGAGGTTCCTATAGCAGGATTGTCTTGCTGTGGATCTCTGTGCTTTCGATAAATATTTTTATCCTGTATTTAGACAGTAAGTTTCCCTCCCCCACCAAGTCATCTTTATTGCACACTGAACAGTCCCAGCTCTCACCCTCTCCCTGTATTCCCAGTCTCTCAGTCACTGGTGAGGCCCTTTTCTTGTTCATTATGTCCTGGCCTTGTCCTGGCCAGCCCACAGCCTGTGCCCCAGCACTGCATGTGTGTGACACCAGTGCTGTGCAGAGACACCTGTGGGGTTCAACATATTCATCTGACCTTGACAGGGACTGAACAGTGAAACAGCACCAGCAGCCCCTCTTGAGTAAGCTTTTCAGGCCTCTGAAAAACAAAGGTTGGTAATAAAACCCTACAGAAGACCTTCACAAAAATTGACTGTACTTGGCAGATGAAATGTCTTGTTAAAAAGAAAAAATAATGTGATAGGGTCTAGTGCTTTTTACTCCTCAGTGATGATCCCCCATTAAACACCAGCCTGTTGTTAAAGGAATTTGAATGTTAGAAATGAATAGAGAAGAAACAGAGAGACCAGAAAGCATTCCTTCACAAAAACCCCTTGCTGTTCCTTCATGTGTGCTGTCAAATGTTATGTGCTGTTCACATCCCACTGCATCAAAAAGGATAGAGCAGAACTGGGGATGTCAGAAACAAACAGCCTATCACACATGCCACTCCTTTATGGCAGGAACGTGGGTGGGTAAAATTGACAAGAGATTTTTAAAAACAGATTTTACCCAGATCTTGCACTGACTTCTACAATAATTTTCTAGAAGAGACATTTTTACTTTTTTCTATCTTTGACCTTTGTGTCAAAAATATTGCTGGTCACTAAAAGCTGAGGTGGATGCTTCTTTCCTGATGGCCTCAACTTAATTCAGGAGCTTCTAGGTTAAGCTTGACTAGAGAGCCCACCAAGGAAGTACATTGCAATATGTGTCCCTGGCACTGTCCCAGTATTTGTTCCTTTGCATAGCCTCATATGGATATGTTAAGTTACAACACATCATTTCCACTTATCAATGGAGCAATTAAGCCATGCTCAGGCTCTGCAAACTCTGCAGGTATGAAGTGGTTGCTTTTGGTATTGTTTTGGCCAGCAATAAATGCCAAAGCTACTTCCATTTCCTCCACAGTTGCCACCAGCTTCTCATAAAGAAGAGACAATTCTTTTACCTTGCCTAGCAGGGGTCTGTTACAACATAGTTCAGATAAAGAGTCCTAAGAATGCTCCAATAAACTCCTTAAGGAGAGGTAGCTGGAAAATTCTCTATGTGGATTCCCCCAGTTTGGGAAATGGATATATGAGAAGGGCACACAGATTAAAAGGACAGGTTACTCTTTGCTTTAATTCTTAATGACCTGCTGAAATCTAGGCTTAGGAGAGAAGAGGCTCCCAAATTCTGCTTACATAATTCAGATTCACTACCATAAGCAGCCTTACAGTGTCATTTTATACAAAATAACCTAATTGGAGAGAAAGGGAACATCAGTTGTGTAGGATTCTACATACACTGAGAAGGATTATCAAGGATTTGACCATCTGAATACAAAACTGAACATTCTTACTGCAGTTCCCTAGGAGAAGATTTCTGTTAAGAGGAAAGGTATTGTGTGTGTTTCAAATCTGGATCAGTTGACAGAGCCAGTTTACAACAGGGTACTTTGTGTGATGGCCTTCAGCAAAGAAGTGCCCATGGACACTGATGGAGTGTAGAAACACAGGTGGAACTACTGAAAGCAACTTTGCCCCTAGACAGCTTAATGAGAAGAGAGGAATGCTCCTGCTCTGTTCTCCCTAAACGAAGGGAGTTCAAAAGAGGTTGCAGGAGCCCAACTGCCATATGTAAGCAGGTGCCTGGGTTAACTGTTCTGAGTTTAAATGCCCTGCACAGAATAATCTTGATATGTTCTGGTTAAAACAACTTTCTATCCAAACTAGATTCCAGTAATACTTCTGTTTGATTAAACAGACATTGAAGCATTTCACAAAGATGCATGAACCACCTGGAGATGTTCTCCATGAAGTTGTTCTTGTGATTGAAGCTACCAAACCAGAAAAGAAAAATAATCTCACTGAAGCTGTAGGCTAAATTCAAGAATAACAAATCACAAACTAGAAGGGCTGAGTGAAAAAAAAATAATGTAGTCTTCCTGAAGGTAAGCGTGACTGTGTGGGTGAAAGAGAAACAATTGCCAAATAAAAAATTCTGTTGTCAGTGATCACGAGATTGTGTAGTAGGGAGCACACAAAAAGAACTATTAACAACTGTGAACTTTTGTATAAGTGTTTCTGCTTGGGCACATAATGTTCATCTTCCATAATTTTGGAGGGATGTAGTCTCCTATCTAACAGATGTACCAATTCTATCTGTGTGAAAATAGAGTAAAATTTTAATTTGTCTTCCTAATTCAGTAACTGTAAAGAGCAGTTGAAACTTCAATACTACACCTATTAATATTTTTGTTTTCAGTTCTGTAAGACTATTTAGGGCCTTTATTAATCATAATGCATTATAAACCACCAACCACAATAAATGTATGCTTTGCTTCTTGTATAATATTCATGTTAAAGTTGAAGGCTGCATTACATGAAAGCAAAGCTATTTGGATTGGCTTGGATACCAAGCTGTAGGGGCTTAATCCAGCCTCTGCCAGGATGACTGGGATGATTGTCATGTAACACGGCACAGCAGCAAGAGAGGAACCCCAGCTTCATTCTAGGAGCTCAGGGAACCACACACTTATTTATCCATTGTGTTTGCATCACATTTTCCCAGAAAGTATTCTGCTCCCAACAAAGCCATTGCCCAAATGGAAACCCTTCTCCAGTAAGCATTGTTTTGGTACAGTGAAGTTCACATGAAAGGTAAGGGCTACCCCTCCCACAGACTTCCTGCAATGTGTGCCTTAGGGCACAGGCCACATGTCTATGTAATACTCAGTATTTTATATTGGCTCTGTGGCTTTTAGCTCTTGGCTGCAAGTTCCATCTTTAGAACTAAAATGCCTTGATGAAAATTACTGTTGGCTGGTCACAACTCTGGAGCTCAACCCAGGGCCATAAATTCAGCAGCAGTGTATCCACTCACAGTCCAGTGATACAAATATGAAACCTACCTACATTTTGGCATGGGGAGTTACCAAGACAGAAATGGGTGAGCTCAGCTCCCTCAGCTGCAGGGCATCAAAGCCTGTCCCCACAGGATCCTCTGATATCCCTTCTGCTCTTGAGTCCATTTTGCAGGTCTTCATTTTGGCCTCCATTTTCTTAATATGAAAGAGATGAAGAATTTTCAGAGACGTTGCCTTTAGAGGTCCCACTCTTCAGCTTGTCCATCCATAAGAAGCTGTCTGGAGAGTTAATAATTTTCCCTGTGTTACTGGGTGATGTTCTGAACACAAGAAAAACAGGACAGTAACAGTCATTGCCTGCAAATCCACTCTCTTTTGAGACCTTACACTCAGAATTCTTGTTCATCCGAATTATTTTTTAACATTTCCCAGTATAATAAAAACTAAACTAAAATAAAAATACTTAGTGTTTACTAAAGGAAGTTGTTCCATAGCTCTCTGGAAAAAAAAAAAAGTCTGTTTAGACTGCAGTTAGAAGTGTAATACTTGAATTGCCAGCAGCACTGAATTTTAGAAATATGTATTCTGATTAAAAATTTATTGTACCTTCTATGTTCCAATTCATTGACAAATAAGGCAAATGGCAAAAAGTACTTTTGAGTTCGTACAGGGTACACCAAATGAAAAAACCAAAACAACGTAAAGCACAGTTTCCCTCCTTATTCCTGAGGATTTGACAAGGAACACAGGCTAAGCTTCATTGGGCTCAAGGACCACCAAGGCCTTTTCCAACCCTGGTGATTCAGATAAGGTGAGACAGCCCACAGAAGAGGACAGGTCCATGGATTATGCTGAGGCAGCACAGGGACTTTACAGTGATCCCAAGTGAAAACCTTGCGGACTGCAGAGAAAGGAGGGAAAGCATTTGAGTCAAGGAAGTCACTCTGGTTACTGTAAATATAGGACTTGTTATTTTTATTTTCTTGGAATTGTTAATAAAGAAATAAGAAGAAAAAAACCCAGAGGAATTGAGAGAATGGAGAGAAGGGAGGTCACCTTGGGATTAATCACTGCAACACACTGAACACAGGCACACATCTCATCTTTGTAAGTGACTGAAGATTAAGATTTAACTCTGCATTACCAATCTACTGCTAATTTCTGAGCATTCTGAATTATTGACAGTATCCCTTAACTTCAGCATCTACTCCCTCAAGGCTGATTGTTCTTCCTTGTATTTGAAGAGGGCAGAACAGAAGCTGCAGGCCAAAACAAATCTATCTGGTTCCTGCCCTCACAGGTCCCACTGTACTAAGTTGTCAATACCTGAGACTTTCAGATATGTTACATCTTAAATCAGTGCCTTTCATAAAGTTAGAACAGAAGCCTAGTGCAACATTTTCGTGCTTTCATGCAGTATATTAAAGGTGATTTGGGCCTTCTGGGTGCTGGTCACATATGCCCATACAAAATTAAAAAAAACCCCAAAAAAATCAGTACATTTAAATTTAAGGCCACTTACACCTCTCATCCTTGACAGGCAGCAGGAACCACTAAGCCCTTGGAATTCAGGCCATTACAAGCACATCTCATTGTGTTTGGAGCTGACTGGCTTGTAAAAAGTTTAGGGCAGAAAACTTCATTGGTATTTTAGTATGTGGCATTTCTCCCATTCTGGTATTTATACATATTCCTAGTTATGCTGAGACTGTCAATACATAAAATTAATTTTTTATTTCCCTTGTTGATTTTTTTTTTTCATTTTAATTGCCTGACCATTTTTTATTCTTATGATCATTAATTGTGAAGACTGA